TTGTAGTGCATTACTGAGTCGTGTAAACTCACTGGGTTACATTAGTATACTCTGCCTTACACACTGTACAACCTCATTAGTTCCCAGAATTTAACAAAATTATGCAAACTCTGCCTCAAAAAAACTAAGTGAAGCTTACTTAAGATGACTGTTAGGACAACTTATTCATTGCAAGTACACTGCAATACAATACAAATTTATTAATATAGCACATTTAAAACCAGGGGTACACAAAGTGCTTCACGAAGCAATAGACAATAAATCATTATACTGAGCAATGAAAAATTAAAAACACAGTAAAATGAAGGACAAGCAAAATCATTAGTGAGTAGAGATAGGGAGAATACATAATAATCTAGGGAAAGATGCAGCGATTAAGAAATGAGAATTAACAAGGGAAAAAAGCGGGTTTAAATATTAAGTTTTCAAGCGTGCTTTAAAAGATTGAATGGTGCCAGAGGCACGAATGGTAACAGGGAGACTATTAAGAGGTATGGTGCTAGGCATGGTCACCTCTAGTCTTCAGACGGTGCCTGGGTTAAGCCAGGAGTAACTGTCCACATGATCGCAATGAACGGCCGGGAGTATAAAGACTGAGGAGGTCAGTAAGATAGTCCGGTTGTTTAGGCATTTGAAAGTAAGCAACAGGACTTTGAAATCGATACGAAATTTAATAGGCAGTCAATGTAAGTCAGAAAGCACAGGGTGGTGGGTGGGTTCCAGAGTGTGGGGGTGCCTACTGGGGTCAGCAGGGGAGCTGGCCTTCCCTCCCCATCCTCCTCAGTTGCCTCCCTCTTCCCGCTCCACCACGCTCCACCACGCTCACCCACACATGCAGGGCCTTGGGGTGCAGGTGTGTCACCAGGGTGCAGGGGAGGCACTCCCCCTCTGTCCCCTTCTGGCCACCTGTGCCTCAATTTTATTCTGCAAACTAGACATCCACATTACTCATACTCTCATAACACATACATATAGGTCCTTGGGGGTGGGCACGTTTTACAGGCTCCAGAGGATGATCTGTGTATTCAAACCCATCTTTGGTGCTGGTGCCCTACCCTCAATTTTAAATGCATATAGACACTGAGGGTTTTTGGGAGGAGCCGTGCTGCTCTCTGGCAGCAGCACCATGCCCTCCTGTGTTTGAATTGCACTTTAGAACAGCACGCAGCAACACTACATAAGAGCGGGTGGAGGGCGGTTTGGGGTCCTCTCCCACACCCGTTCTGTTAACTGTCAGGGCTGGGGTGCTGGGAGGAGGTGCTGGCCGTCAGATTGGGGTTTGGGATGCGGGGGTACCTGGACCTGGGATATAGAATATGTTTGGGGAGTGTGAATGTGTGTAGAGTGTCTATTTGTGGCTGCTTGGTGACCTCTCGTTTGGGGCTCTCCTCAGCTCTTCCCAGGAGGGTGGCACAGTTGCCCCTTTGGTGGTCCTCCTTGGGTCCTCGTACTCTGGGGCCTCTGGATGTCTGGGGCCTTGATCTCCTCCATACCTGCTTCATGCCCTGGGGGGGCGGTGCTATGGCTCCCCACACTCCCTAGCAGATCGTTACATGGAGAAACCTTTTGAATACAAGCGTGCTGATCCACACAGGTGTGCACACAGGTGTACACACGGGTGTTCACAGACACAAACTTCACCTTTTTTGGCTGCTACCCCAAAGCACATTGTGCACTGTCGATCTTGTGTGCTGCACAATAACATTTAATATTTAGTATCTACTGTTATCTACTGCTAGCTAGTTTGTTGTGATAGTGTTGTATTTATTATGTTGCTCTTTCTTGCTTGTTTTCTCTTCTGTTTTTTTTCTCCATACAGGTGATCCAGGTGTTTTGTTTTCCCCCCTTTCTCACCATCTCTTCTCCCCTCTATTTTTCTTTCTCTCCATCTTTTTCTTTCTTTCTTTCTCCCTGTCCTATCCCCCAGTCATGTCTGTCCCATCTGTAACAACCGAAAATCTAATAAAATAAATACACAATTATAATTAAGGTCAATTAAATGGACCAATATGGCAAGGCCATGATGATCCACTTGGTAAAGTAAATCTGCTTGGCATCTTTCTCGGCCTTCAAAAAACATGTCACGGCTGCGCAGCAGTCATGTGGTGAATTGAGAAAAGGATCCAAAATGCTGGCACTGGCTAGGGTGCGAGTGAAAGTTTATTTACAGAGGTGATAAGGTGACAAAAACAGGATGAGCAGAGCGGGGAGTAAACAAACCTAAACTGGGGAAAACTAAAGAACTCGGAGAGACGCAGACTGAACACCAGGTTAAAAATTGAGCCTCAAAGCTAGAGAAGGTGGGAGAAGGCAGTCGCCGAAATGTAAGTTTGTTTTTAAAGACCATGGCTCCACCATTCCCTGTGAGTCTTGGTAATCTGAAAAAAAAACACAGTCAGGGGGAAGAAGTTTGGAGAAGCCTCCAAAAATTTGATTCTGTTCATCTGGAAAGGAGCTCACTGGAGCGAATCCAAGTTTCAGTCAGGAACAACACATCCAGATGTAGAGTAAGGAAAAGATTATTTATAATGAATGCTTACTACGCTTCCTGATGGACCTCTTAAACAGGGTGGGTGGAGGCAAGCAGATTGTTTAGGCAGACAGGTACACAGCAGTGTAGCGTCTCCAAAATCCCGATGTGGATCCGACTCATGAAAAAGCGGTCGCTGGAAATTTAACCAAGTTAGCCGATCATATGTGATTAATGTGTTATTCTCAGAGAGGCACAAAGCTAAAACAAGAATAAAAAGCACACAACAGTCAAAATAAAAAGTACGAAAACAGAAACGGGGGTAACAAGAGGTAGGAGGACACCTCTTGTTACACAGTACAGAGTACTAAGAATGAATTGATGTTCTTGACTATGCAATACTAATTGTTTACTCACTGGCAAACATTTCAAGTGCTACTAAATTAAAAAAAACAATTTGTGGTAGCATACTATTTTAAATTTTGCTTACACACAAATTAAATGCAAGTCAGTCCAACTTTTATTTTCAATAGCAAAAATCCAGAGGGAGAAAAACCATAAAATTATTTAGAAGCTGATTTGATCCTTAATGGCTTTTCAACTGTTATATCTAACAACACAGAAGGTCAATGTTGACCTCGTACTACCAAATTAGACTAGCACATTCCTACAAGCAGGGCTCTAGACAAATTTTTTGCCACGGTTGCACTTGTGTGCCTAACTTTTTTTAGGCACACCAGCACAAAAGTTAGGTGCATCCAAATTGTTCAACTGCATTGCTTAAAACCGCAGTTTTACATGTGCACTTTTTCGGGGGGGAAATTGCTGTCCATACAGACAATATTGATTTGTAAATAATTAACTAACAGTCTTGTCAATACAAAGTTCTTTATTTGGAGCACAGTTCTACAAGAAAGATAAGTTACTGAAAAAGTGCTTGTGCTTAAAGTGCTTTGGCTCTCTTTGGTGATATTGTAGACAATGTCAGAGCTGGCTATGAATTTCAGATGGATCAGGCCTTAACTTAACAAAAAAGTTATCAATCGTTCTTTTCATTTTTTCTCATTACCCATAGCTACATCCACTTCTGTCAGGCCAAGGCTGCTCACTGGGGCTGGGTACCATCACTGATTTCTACAATCCATTCGATTCCGATTCACAAAGTCCTGATTCTATTCAATTTTGTCTCAGACATTCAGAAATATTATAATTCTGATCCTTTATCAGTACTGACAATTGTGAGACTTCATCAGAGGTGTGAGCATCACAGCAGATGTCTTTGTGTCAAAGAAACTGAGAATAAAACACAGAAAAACATGAAGGAGATTTTCCTGGTTTTTAGCGGCCGGCAGCGCTGTAAGCAACGGTAGACTGGTGGGTAATAAGCGAATGAATAATGCAGAAAACAGAGATTTGAGATGGGAAACTGTTCTTGAAGTACACAGAGAGAGAGAGAACTGTGCATGAAGTGTGATTTTATCGTGGTGGAAGCAAAACAGCAAAAGTAAGAGTTAATAAATGACGACATTTATCAAATGTGAATCATAGTTTGGATCTTCTTTTGCTGCTAGTCAGTGAATTTTGGTTGGAGACAGACAAAACCTGCAGCTCAGAATCAGCGCAAAAACACGATTCTGATGCGTCGGGTCTGCTCTGTGTTTACTTCTTTGTGCAGAATCCGTGTACCTGCTCTCATTTGCTGTTTGGTGGTTGTTGAAATAGTTCTGAGAGCTTTAACCTGAAATTCTGGCAAAATACAGTAATATTTAAAAGTCGATTCAGGATTTAATGAATCGATATCGCTTTATTCAAGCTATTCAGAGAGGTCCCGCCCCTGACTATCTCTGATTGGTTTAGACCATGATAGGGGCATAATGTGTTGCAGGGAATTTTTTTATTTTATTTTTTTACTCGAAAAGTTGGTCGCACTGGTGCAACCTAGGATTTTTTTTTAGTCGCACCATTGAAAAATTTGGTCGCATTTGGACCAAATTGGTTGCACTCCAGAGGCCTGTACAAGTCTGCTCAAAGAAGTCCTGCAATTAATTAATGTTTCAGTCTTAAATATGATCAACCTATCTCTCATAATCATTTATGGACCACAAGCCTTCAAGCTGGCTGTAGTTAAACCTTTACTCAAAAAGCATCTCTAGGCCCAGCAGTCTTAGCTAATTATAGGCCAATCTCCAACCTTCCTTTCATATCAAACATCCTTGACAATTCTTTCAGTGGTGCAAGTTTCAGTCACTGTTAAAATGTCCTGTTTATATGGTTGAAACCTGCAGTCAGCTGAGACTGAATAAGTCACCTGATGCTGATGAAACATTTCTCCCACTGAAAATGTCCAGATGAACGCAGTCAACTTTAGGGATTTCCTTACTTGGAGCATGAGCGTGCATCAAGACACCACTGTGCGATGTAACAGGAACAGGAAGTGATACTGAGATACGAGGGTTTTGTTGACCAGTTGATGTACTCACATGTTACCTTGTTTACCTATTTATCTGTATTCGTGTTGTGTGTCCCTCAGTGTGTGCACAGAGATCTGGCGGCGAGGAACATTCTAGTGTGCGAGGGGAAGCTGGTGAAGGTCTGTGACTTTGGTTTGGCCAGAGACCTGCTGAAGGACCAGGATTACATCGCCAGGGGAAACGTTAGTTAACCAGTTCAGTCAACTATACTGAGGGCTCCTGACATCATCAGGTAAGGTGTTCACCTGTGCACCCACCTGTGTGTTTCAGAGCTTCCTGCCGCTGAAGTGGATGTCTCCAGAGAGCATCTTCCAGAACATTTACAGCTCGCAGAGCGATGTTTGGTCCTATGGAGTTCTGCTGTGGGAGATATTCTCTCTGGGTAACCCAGTCTGTCACACCAGTGTCCGGCAGCCTCGCCTCTGTCAGTGCGCCCCAGGGTGGCTGTGGCTACAATGTAGCTGCCATCACCAGTGTGTGACTGTGTGTGTGAATGGGTGGATGACTGGTTGTGTAAAGCGCTTTGGGGTCCTTAGGGACTAGAAAAGCGCTATATAAATACAGGCCATTTACCATTTACCATTAACAGGGGGTGGACTGGTTGAAGTTTATTGATTCTTCTTGCTGACCTTTACCCTTTAAAGTTATACACACAGTTTTAATTTGAAGTTGTAAATTGGTCATTAACTGGAAACCAGTTCAAAACCAGGAAACAGATCCAGCAGCTGGAACAAACCATTACCAGCAACCTCACAGCCCAGAAGAACAGACTTAACTTTAATCAAAGAGAAAAAAGGGAATTTATTGTACATTTCAATCAAAAACAAGAACAAAGGTCCAGACGTCGCTGTGAGATCTCCTTCAGCCTCACACTTCCCTCTGGTCGACTGTGACAGGTGTGTCTGCTCACTACTGTCAGCCTCGTCTCCGCCCCCTCACCACAGGGTTTCTGTGTTTTGGTCCCAGGCTGCAGCCCGTACCCCGACCTCCCCATGACCCAGGAATTCTACTCTGCTCTGAAGAGAGGATACAGGATGAGTCGACCCGACCACGCTCCTGAGGACATGTATGACACAACGCATGCAGGCGCACACATCAGCTTCCTGTGACAACGCTCAGCATGACCCTCTGCACTTTTCGGTCTGCAGGTACGACGTGATGAAACGCTGCTGGGAAGAGAAACCTCAGTCCAGACCTTCATTCTCTTTACTGCTCATCGCAATGGGCAACATGCTGACTGACGACTATAAACAGGTACCAACACCTGCCTCAGGTAAGCATCACACACCACCTGACCCAGGAGACGCTGATCATGTTGTTGTGTGTCAGCGTTACCTGCAGATTGCCGAAGACTTCCTGAAGGGAGGAAATCCAGCTGTGCACCGATACAAGCAGAGTTTATCCAGAGGTGCAGAGGAGCAGGAGGACACGCACGGTAACACACACAGTAACACAGACACAAACACAGTAACACACGCTAACACACTCTCGCACAGTAACACACACGGTAGCACACGCGGTAACACTCACTCGCACATACAAAAACAAAATCACACAGAGACACACACGCACACACACAGTAATACATACACAGACACACACACACTGAATTACACACAGACCCACACACCGACAGACACACACGGACACACATATAGACACACACATACAGACACACACACACACACACAGATTTACACACACCCACAGACACACACACACACACACACACACACACACACACACACACACAGACACACATACAAAAACAAAATCACACATACAGACACACACACACACATAGACAGACACACATACAGACACACACACACACACACACACACACACACACACACACACACACACACACACACACACACACACACACCCCCACACACAGACACACATACAAAAACAAAATCACACATACAGACACACACACACATAGACAGACACACATACAGACACACACACACACAGACACAGACACACACACCCACACACAGACACACATACAAAAACAAAATCACACATACAGACACACATACACATAGACAGACACACATACAGGCAGACACATACACACACACACACAGACAGACACACATACAGACACACACACACCCACAGACAGAAACACACATAATAATAATAATGGATTGGATTTATATAGCGCTTTTCAAGGCACCCAAAGCGCTTTACAATACCACTATTTATTCACTCTCACATTCATACACTGGTGGAAGCAAGCTACCGTTTGTAGCCACAGCTGCCCTGGGGCAGACTGACAGAAGCGAGGCTGCCATATCGCGCCATCGGCCCCTCTGGCCAACACCAGTAGGCAAGTAGGGTAAAGTGTCTTGCCCAAGGACACAACGACTAGGACAGAGAGCCCAGGGATCGAACTGGCGACCTTCCGGTTACAGATGCAATTCCCAACCCCCTGAGCCACGGTCGCCCCGACATACACACACACACACACACACACACAGACAGACACACATACAGACACACACACACATACAGACACACACACACACACATACACAGACAGACACACATACACACACACACACACACACATACAGACAGACACACATACAGACACACACACAGACACACATACAGACACATACAGACACACACACACAGACACACATACAGACACACACACACCCACAGACAGACACACATACAGACACACACACACACACAGACAGACACATACAGACACACACAGACAGACACATACAGACACACACACACCCACAGACAGACACACATACAGACACCCACACACACACAGACACACATACACACACAGACAGACACATACAGACACACACACACACCCACAGACAGACACACATACAGACACCCACAGACACAGACAGACACACATACAGACACCCTCAGACACAGACAGACACACATACAGACACCCTCAGACACAGACAGACACACATACAGACACCCACAGACACAGACAGACACACATACAGACACCCTCAGACACAGACAGACACACATACAGACACCCTCAGACACAGACAGACACACATACAGACACCCACACACCCACAGACAGACACACATACAGACACCCTCAGACACAGACAGGTCACTTTTGAAAGTTAAAGAAGTTTAAAACAAATCCCGCCCCCTTTCTTCACAGCAAGTGCCACCTCTCAGGTAAATAGGCCAGAGGCGGAGCCAGTAGAGGCAGGTTCCTCGCATGTCGCTTACATTCTGCCCGTTACCGAAGTCACAATTGAAAGCAGCGGTGGCGCTGCGCTGGACGCAGTCAGGTACGAAACCATGTGATGCGGTCAGGTACGATCCTGCAGGCTACGATGCCTGTGAGGATGATAGAGATGATGCTGTGTTTTCTCTGCAGCCCTTCGATGTCAGACTCTCCCGCCATCTCATACTCTCCCGAAGTGACATCATCAGAGAACAGACAGGAAGCTGTGGGGCCTGAGGAGGAGAGTCGTCTGTGAAGGTTTCACCTGCCTGAAAGTCTGGGGCAGGGTTTAAATAACCCATGCATCTCTGCATGGGGGCTCCTGTGCCCTGAGTATGGACTGTAGGAGGTTGTGTAACCTTTTTACCTGCAAAGCTTGTTTAGGTCACAGAGTCAGAGTGTGCTGAGTGTGCAGCAGGTCCTGATTCACATTTATAAACTTTAGTATCCTCATGTACTCTGACTTTTCTATCTGTATATCCAAACTGCTGGCCCGTGTCAGGACTGAAGCTCCCATTAAAATGTACTCGTGGATCAGACTGTTCTGATGCTTCCTCATGAGAAACACAACACACACACATATCAGGGTCAACAACAGTCAGCTCACCTCCAATGTTCAGGTGGAGGTTCAGGTGAAGCTAGCAGCTACAGCCACCTGTTTCACCATCCACATCAGTCACAGAGGCCACACCCCTAATAATGCCAAGTTCAATACAATTTCTGAACATGAAGCTGCTTTGGTATCTATATAGACCAGTTTGTGTATCAGGCTGTGAGCATGTTTATTTTAACATTGGAGTCTATGACTCACTGCTGCCTCTGCTGGACACCAGAGGCACTGCAGTTTTCAGGATTTCTTATTTTTGGTTAGGTGCTGGTGGTGGAGAAGAATATTTGAGTTTTTAAGTTTAAACCAGATTCAATTCAATTTTATTTATACAGAGCCAAATCACAACAGTCATCTCTTATAAGGTAGACCCTACAATAATACATGCAGAGGGGAGGTGACAAAGAGAAAAAAACTCTTAGTGTCAGCACGTGAGGACAAGAAACCTGCAGCAGGTGGAGGAGGAGGTTCCCCCTGCAGGTGAGAGCTCAGTATAAAGGGACCTCAGAGCCCTGGAAGCCACGTCCTCTGTGCCAGCTGCATTTCTTCTGCTTCCTGTTGGAGAGCTGGAGGGCAGAAATGTGCTGAATGTCTGAAAATGTTTCCTGTGAAAAGAAGAATCGCTGTGACTCAGCTTCTTCCTCATTTATCCCGCAAAGTTAAAATATTGTGTTAGAAGGCAGCAGGCAAGGGGTTAAAGGACCTCCACGTTACCGCTGTTTACTCCCTGAACTGTGAGAAAGCTCATTAAACCCAAGAAAACCTACTAAGATCTTGATTGTCGTCACACCATGGATCCCCGAGCAGCTTCCAGGGTTTTTGCTCATTTTAGCAACCGCAGGTTTGAGGCTGACCACAGGAAGTCCCAGAATAATGACATTATTTCACAGACAGTAACACAGACTCTGCCTTAATGAAACTAGACCTCAGGCCCTACAATGAGTCCACCTGTGGTCATGGAAACCAGCTGACAGGTACAGGTGTGCCGCTCCCAGCAGGGTGCTGGTCCCCCAAACATGCCAAAAACCACATTAATATCAGATAGAGGTCAGCTGACCGCCTGACCGCCTGACCTCACCACAGAGCCCGAGTCAACCACACCACCATACACACAGAGAGGGGAACCCATGGAAACAATAACCCCAAAGCAGATGGTTTGGTCCACCTGTTGGACCTTTACTCCAACCACCTCACACCACTCTTTGGTTCAAGCAGGAATTGCAGCATGCGACCTCTCAGTGACGTGGGCGCCATCATTAATCTGCTGAAGGAGCGAACCACCACTGACCAACGAGCAGGGAGGAGCACACGGGTGTACTGAGGCAGGTAAGAAATCATGTTAACCACAGAGGTGTGTGTTCAGCTAGACGTCGACCTCATCGTCTCCAAACATCATCATCATCATCGTTTATTTATATAGCACTTTAAAAACATACAAGGCTGACCAAAGTGCTGAACAATAGAAACATAATAGATACCATAAGAATTAATAAATACGATAAAATAATAAACATAGCGAAAACAATAAAATATAAGTAAAGTCAGTCAAACACTGAGTCAAAAGCCAGTGAATAAAAATGCGTTTTCAATCTGGATTTAAAAACCATCACTGATGTAGATCGCCTAATGTGAAGAGGAAGATTATTCCAATGCTTAGGAGCCACGATAGAGAACGCTCGGTCTCCTCTCAGTTTCAGCCGTGATTTGGGGACTGAGAGCCACAGCTGCTCAGCTGACCGGAGCGAACGAGTGGGGACATAGGGCTTCAGCAAATCAGACAAATCTTTCTTTCTTTCTTTCTTTCTTTCTTTCTTTCTTTCTTTCTTTCTTTCTAAATATGCAGGTGCCAGACCATTTAAAGATTTAAAAACCAATAAAAGAACTTTAAAATGAATCCTAAATTCAATTGGAAGCCAGTGCAGGTAGGCCAGAACCGGAGTAATGTGCTCAAATTTCCTTTTACCAGATAAAAACCGTGCCGCAGCATTCTGGACTAGTTGCAGGCGTGTCAGAGTGGCCAGCCCAACCCCTATTAAAATGGAGCTGCAATAATCCAAGCGTGAGGTTATAAAAGCGTGGATAACAGTCTACAAATCATGCCTTGAAAGAAAAGGTTTAACCTTCGACAGACGCCTGAGGTGATAGAATGATGATTTCACCACCCCATTCACGTGGCCATCAAAGGTAAGTGCAGAGTCGATTTTTAACCCAAGATTGGTAATCGAGCTCTTCAGGTGAAGGGTCAGAGCAGCAAGTTCAACATCAGGGATATCAGAGGAACGATTCGGGCCAAACAGAATTGCTTCCGTTTTACGTTCATTAAAATTTAAGAAGTTTTGAGCCATCCATGACTTAACATCACTAAGGAAATCAAGCAGGAGTCTAATTGGAGAGCTATCAGAATGACTGAAAGGAAAATGAAGCTGGCAATCATCAGCATATAAATGAAATTGAAGACTTCCGGCTTGAGTGAACGCTGGGGCGCCTAACCCTAACCCGTTTTATCCTATTTTAAAGTGTCCTTGGGTGACTTGAAAGGCGCTCATAAATAAAATTTATTATTAGCATTATTATTGTTATTAAATGACACTTTGTGTTTACGAAAGATCGCACCCAGTGGCAGGAGATACAATCTAAACAGTAATGGCCCAAGAATAGATCCCTGTGGTACACCCCACGGCAGAGGGGCCACAGAGGACGATGACGAGCCCAACTTAACACAGAAGCTCCTGTTGGAGAGATATGATTTTATCCACAGGAGTGCCAAGCCAGAAATGCCCACACAAAGCTGTAATCGAGAGATCAGCAGGTCGTGATCCACTGTGTCAGATGCAGCAGTCAGCTGTCTCTGTGCTATGAAACGGCTTAAAGCCGGACTGAAAAACTTCAAACATTTGAGAGTTGTTTAGATAATCCATCAGCTGAGTGTGAACAACCTTTTCCAAGATCTTACTCAGAAAAGGAAGTTTAGAGATGGGTCTAAAGTTTGACTGAACTGAAATATCTGAGCCTGGCTTTTTAAGTAAGGGATGAATAACTGCAAGCTTAAACTCGCTTGGTACTTGACCTGACAAGAGGCTGGTATTAATTAGGTTCAGAATACGTGGTCCAACAGCAGGAAACACTTTTTTTAGAAAACGGGGATGAGCGACATCATTCGGAGAACCACACGGGTTAGCAGTTAACACAAGCTTCTCTAGTTCAGGTAGAACAATTAATTTAAACGGGGAACATGCACAGCCAGGCCAACAGAAGATAAAGTGGAGGATCTCAAACTGGCAACCTTATCCACAAAGAAATTAAGAAACTTATTACACATAACCTCAGGAGATTGCAGATCATCAGTCTGAGTGAACGCCACCATTCACACTGGGCGCCGAGCATGAACCCATGAATCAGCTCACTGTGACTCAGGTCGGGTCCTGCTGTGGACAGTTTTTGCTGTGGCTGTTTTTTCTGTGGACGGTTCTTCTGTGGGTGGGTTCTGTCTGCTCGGCTTGTTTCAGAAGCTTTTGTGTTTCATTTCCAGGCCGCTCGTTTTTGCAGCCCAAACCATTTGTCCCACACTGGGTGAGGATGCCGAGTCTCGCTGTTACCTGAGGGGTCACACTCCCTCCACCCGCTCGGTTTATTGTCAGTCCTCACGTCTGATTGGTTATTTAAGCTGTGATAGAGAAAACTGATGTCTACCTGAAACTTTATTGTTTTATGAACTCAGTCAGCTGCTTCAGGTGGAGCAGGAGGGGAGGAGTCAGAGGGATCACCTGGCAGAGTCTGTTAAACAACTTCATCTAATCTCCGGATGAACAAAGTCAGAGTTTAATCTGAACTTGCGTCCTGGATCAGGATCCAGGTGGAAAGCTCTGTTTGTAGCCCAGAGGCAGAACTTGACCCTTGTATCTGTACTCAAAGGTGCATCACCATAGTAATTTATACTGCAAACATTACCTACTCCACACCTGGGGCCCGTTCTTCGTACGTCGCTTACTACATCCAAGATCAAATGACACACCCAAGACCAAATCATCGCGCTAACTCTGAGCTCGCTAATCCGGTTCTCCGAACACACCTGCTGTTGACGATTAGTACAGCTGGATGAAGTAATGTGAGATCACTGGGTGTCGTAAAAGGGGCTACGCATCGATAGTAGAAACATTGATCGGCAACCCTCTGATTGGTCGGCGAAAATGTCGAAAGAGAGTGCTCGGTATTTTTCGGCAGCAGAGCAAGAACTCTTGATTGAGGGATTTCAGGAGTTTCAGAGTTTAATCAGAACGCAAGGGAACACTGCAAAGGCTGCGAAAGCAAGGAGAGAGGGCTGGCAGAAAGTTGCTGACAAATTAAACTCGTAAGTGATTTAATAATAACAATAATAATGGAGTGGATTGATATAGCGCTTTTCAAGGCACCCAAAGCGCTTTACAATGCCACTATTCAGTCACTCTCACATTCACACACTGGTGGAGGCAGCTACGGTTGTAGCCACAGCTGCCCTGGGGCAGACTGACAGAAGCCAAAATCAAATCAAATCAAATCACTTTTATTGTCACATCACATGTGCAGGTACATTGGTACAGCACATGTAAGTGAAATTCTTGTGTGCGAGCTTCACAAGCAACAGAGTTGTGCAAAATACAAGAATGGCTACATCTGAAACTAATAAATATGTGTACAATATATAATAGTATATGCATTTCTGGATGTGTATACTAAATATTTTTCTACGTGTGTGTGTGTGTGTGTGTGTGTGTGTGTGTGTGTGTGTGTACACATATTTTACAAATTAAATAGAGTAAACAATAAATAAAATATATAAAAATATACAGAGTTGAATATGTGCAAAACAAGTGGCATTTATATACAGTATGGAGTGCATAATGTTAAAGTTCCAGTAGTGAAGCTGAGGTGTCTATGACGTGTTCAGCAGTCTGA